CCCAGAGCAGCAGCGGGCAGTCGCGCATGAGCCACGGCATCGACCTTTCCTACGTAAATCGACTACTACTCACGTTCGCGCCCAGGCTCGGATCCACGCGGTGTGGCCGTGGCGCAGCCAGCGGGTTGTCAAAGTGCGGCGGGGATTCAAAGGTGAGGTGCGGCGTCGGCGTCGCAGAGGATGGACGGGGAGGAACCGGCGGGAGAGACATGCAGAGACACTAGGGGCAGTCAGAGTAGACAATTAAGCACGGATTATGGCAAGGGGGAACCGGCATTCAAAAAAAAGATATAGGGCCGATTTCTTTTTTCAAGGCCACGCGGAGGGACCTACTGACTAACGTAAGCATTCACACGCTCCACATAAGGAAATTCGCCACGTTTTTAAGTCACCGGAGGGTGTACAATATGTTCCCAACGTCCATAGACTAGCACACGCCTTCTCCGGTGCACTTTACTGCGTCCCAGCTCAGTCCCCACGATGGGAACAGAATTTACTCCAGTGCTTTGAAATGTGATTGACTAGTCCGGATGTAGGCGTTGTTGGCAAACTAGCCACAACTGATTGACATATATGGAGGTGATCCACCAAATTGTCCAAACCATCGTCCGCATAGGTTCTATTGACATTCTGAAGTGAAGCATACCCAAGGACATGTTCCAAAGATGATATAAGCTCCAGAAATGGGAGGCTCGAATTTTCTTTTCGGGGCCTCGCGGCCGGACTAACCTACCAGCCCTTAGCCACCGGTTTGAATGCCGGTGCCCCCTTGGATTATGGGCCACGATTCTGGAAGGATTATGGATTTGTTTCAGCGTGGGAGAATCACTGTAATTCATAATCCTTGAATCGTGCATAATCTCCTCTGGAGGAGATTATGCAAAGATTAAGATGACCTAGATTAGGCCTCTCCGAGGCGGTAGCTAAACCTTTAGGGATTCACTAGCAGTTACCCATGCCATGCCATGGTGATAACAGATCAGCAGTTCAATAGACTCATGCTCTGAATTGAAAATGCTGTTTGTCACAGACCTTCGATCGACTCCTCACGGCTCGTGTGCAGTTCCAGAAAAAAAATTGCTCGGGATGACACGAAATATTCTAATGCAGAAATACTTGGTATGAATACAGTGGGTGACTTTCCATAAGCAATAGAAAATGATTCTAGAATATTTCTGCTCTTGCCGTCGTCGCTGCCGAGGCAGCTGTCAGGACCCCATCAACGGGCAACCCAAAAGCGTACAAAAAATATTCCAGATCTACGAAAATCTGTAGAGGGGTACCCCCCTCTACAGATTATTATTATTGGAATTAACTGTTTTGGGTGGCCAACGGCTACTCCTCACCCACATGTGAAATCATCGAGTCTCTGATTCATGTTGGAAAAATTCAACAACCTTCTGTTACCCATCGGAGTTCGTTCCGGCCCTTGTTCAAGCATGAAGACCAATTCATGTTTTTTATTCTTTCTTCTGGGAAGGCAAGCCGTTAACAGACGATCCGAATTTCCTCTACCTTGATGCCATCGCTGGCACTCTCACTTGAGCTCAGAAATACCTCAGGATTAGTTTATGCTTATGGAAAGTCAACCAGTGCCCCAGATATTTTTCTGTGAGAACAATGAATTGACAATGTTCAACTGAAACCTCTCTGGGTAAGCTACCACATTAGTACTATGTATTGTTGTCCTGTACTTCTGAACTAAAAACCATTTACTCTTAGTGTGCCGTCCGAAGTGTCTTCTCCCTGTCTCGATGGTTGGATTTTACAAATGCATTTTGCATCAATAATCCAATTCCAAAACTCTGCCTCACATTCACCAGTTATTTCCCTTCTATGTTTGAATTCCTGATGCAAATTTTGAACGTTCACAGGCTATGTTCAGCGCGCCTACACCCTGAATTGATTGGTATTTAACACTTCTATATTCAAAATCCAATTCATCTTTCATTGTTTTTGTCAAAATTGCCTTGACCCGGTCGCCAAGCCCCTATCCTGGAGTGCCATAATAGAGAGCTTGCGCAGAAGCCATTGGAGCCATTTGATGGCTTGTGGGGCGCACACAAATTTGGCGGGTGAATGGCTCCACAAATCCATTGACGTCAGATTTTGGCCTGATTTTGGCTGTGGAGCCATCCAGTTGTGCATAGCAAAAATGCCATCGTATGGCTCCAGTGGCTCCTGCGCAACCAGGCATTTCAACCACCTTGGGCTTTCTTACATGGTTTGGAATTGCTCATTGTGCCAATTTTTCTTGTGCAACAGCCTATGCTTTCAACACCATGACTCCAATGAGCCAATCTTCTTTAGTTTATGCAAGAATTCAAGTTCCCGGCACGAAACGGCCTATGTCACTGGGGACCCCATTTAACACTCACCAATTAGTGCCCAGTTGAAGTACTTACATAGTCGTGCTCAGGTTGTGCTCAATGCTGCAAGAGTTCAACATCTCAACAGTTTAAAACTAACAATCTATTGGCTGATAACTCATCATCTGGACAGTTTTCAGGGGGACAGTGCAGCACAGACGTAGGTGCGCTGAACACGGTGGACGACGGAAAGGTGGCAAACTGATCAAAATTTGTTCCAATTAGAAAAGGGATGGGTGGAGCAATTGAAGAAAAATGGTCTTGTCTTGCATGAGGGGGGTCCTCAATTGTAATATAGATTCAGCGTAGTCCAGCTTAGTTGATTGTTCAGTTCATAGGCACCAAGGGCGCTTGGATAAAGGCACCCGATAATCGCAGCCCCGAAAAAGGGTCGTGCGCTGGCAAGATCATGAAGTGGTGATTGATCTCGGGGATTAATAATTCTCCGCGTCCGGATCCTGGCCCGAACACAAAGCAGGATTGACTAACACCCAAAATCAAACTCAGAGCATATCTTGGGTTCCAGGCAGTGAAACAAGTCGCGCAAGAGGATTCAGGCAGGTAAGAAGTTGAAAAACATGTCCTTGAATTTTGATTTATTTCTATGTCTTTCTCCATTTTTAAAATCCCTGGAAACCGGCGTTCATGAGTTGGACCGTGCCGTGTAATTCTACCTACCTACCTACCTACCTATCAATTCATATTCGCAATGACTAATTTTAGGTGACTAAATCTTGTTTGTACATGTAGCAAAAGAGAGCGAAATCCAAGTTCTCCTGGGTAGCCAAACCTAAAGGTTCAGCAATTAAGGCCACGATTATGGTCGGATTATGGCTCTACGATTAATCACAGATTAATCGCGCCATAGTAATCCTTGCACCATAATCCGGGGCGGTCAAAGTTGAGTCGGATTGCCACGATTATGCGCGATTATGGACTTTTAAAAATCCATAATCGCGTCGTAATCCTTGGCTTAATCGCTCAAGAATCTCTCCATAATCCTCTACTCTGACTGCCCCTACTGACGGAGACCGAATTAAATATTTCTATTTCTGGGCGCTTAGTAGCCGACGTGGTTTTTGCCGTGAAACTGTCCCAGCGGTTCTGACGTGCATCTCACGCGCATCTGGGATGTCCAGCACCGCACTCGCTCCTGCCAGCTTTCGATGTACTGCCATGAACCAACTGCAGCGCGGGTTTGTCCAGGCGCAGCACGACAAATCCCGCACTGGATGCGGATCGAGCGAAGAGTGTCTATGTCCGCAAACTTGCGGTTGCGATGTTTTGGGATCCGCAGGTCCTTGCTGCACGGATCGCTTTGGTTCTCGTACACACCCTGATCGTCCTCGAGGCCACACTCCTCGAGACCTCACGTTGCCACGATCTCGCCCCCGCGGCCTCTTCCCACAGTCCTCCGACTCCGACCCGTCTTCCCACCATACACGCTGCGTTCCTACCTCTCGCTTAGACCCACTTCTGCCTCTCGACATGATATCCACCCGTGTCCTTACCGCAGGATGAATTCACGGGAGATCCATGTTTTATTATTATCATTCAGCACTCACCTCCGAGTCACCAGAGTAACCAGGTCAATTCTGCCTACTTATACTACCCTGTACCACCCACAGGAAAGACCTGATAGCATAGTTGGCTAATGCACCTGTTGAACTTAAGTCGTGTTAAGATCGCGTATGCAGGAAGTCCCTGGTCAATTCGGGGTCAGGTCATGTCCCTTGATTCCCAATCCTTTTTTGACTTTCAATATGGTTACATAGCATCCTACTGGCCTCGTTTATCATTCTAAGCTGCACTTCCTTGCTCAGATGACACGTGAAATGACAGGCAATGATGCAGGCAAGTCAGTTTATTCGGTTGAACTCTCCCAAGCAGTTGAAGTCAGGTTCAAATCCCTATTTTTGTCCCCCTATATCACAGTGGAAGAGGCTTAGGGAAGATCTGATAGCATAATTGGTTAGTGCACCTGCCCAATGTATCGCGAATACAAGGTTTAAGCAGGAGATCCCCGTTCGATTCGGGGTTAGATCATATACCAAAACTCCCAGCTTTTTCTTTCATTTTTTGGACACCTGGCTAACATCCTGCGGAGCATTTCCTTATCCCAACGCTAGTAAGTTCCTTCAAGTTGCTCAGATTAAATTACAACCACAGAGCATCCGAGCAAGATACAATTTATTTGGTTGAACCTGCCCAAGCAATTGAACCCGGGTTCAAATCCCTATCTTTGTCCCACGTATACTACAGTAGACCAGGTCTAAGAAAGATCTGATAGCATAATTGGTTAATGCACCTGCTCAACATACTAGACTCGTGAAGTTTAAGCAGGAGATCCTTGTCCGATCCGGGATCAGGTCATTTTAGGGAAGTGTAGTATTTTTAATTTTTAATTTGCGTCTAACTGGCTGACATTATGCTGGACTCTTTTCCTCATCCTAAAGCTGCTCTTCATTACTGAAATGAAACAGCCATCAATGATCCCAGCAAGCCAATTTCCTCGCTTGAATCTCCGAGTCTGCCCAAGGAGTAGTTGAACCCGATGCAAATTAATTAAAACCCGGGTCCAAAATTCAATTTTTTGTCCCAGTTAGACAACAGCACACCAGACCTAAGAAAGATTTGATAGCATAATTGGTTAGTGCATCTGCTGAACATAGGACGCCCAGAAGATCTTGAAGGCAGTAGATCCCCGTTCGATCCGGGGTCAAGTCATGGACCAGAATTTGTCCATTTTTTCTTCATTTTTTGGGCAACTGGCTAGGATCCTGCAGGGCTCGTTTTCTTATTATAAAGCAGCTCTGCCTCGATCAAATGAAACGTGAAATGACAGTCCGTGATTCAAGCAATCCAATTTATGCTGTTGAATCGGAGTTGAGCTGTTCAACCTCACCTTTGTCCCATATATATCACAGCGGACCAGGTCTAAGAAAGACCTGATAGCATAATTAGTTAGTGCACCTGCTCAACATATGGTGTTTCATCCGTGCCTATTAAGTTGAAGATCCCTGTTTGATCCAGGGTCAGCTCATGAGCCATAAATCCTCCTCTTTTTCTTTCATTTTTCTCGCACCTAGCATTCCGTGGAGCTCATTCTTAAGGATCCAAAGTTACTGAAGTGCAATGAGGATCCGAGCAAGGTGCAATTTATTTTCCATTGAACCGGAGTTGGACTGTTCAAGCTTGTGCAACACCTATATACCACAACAGACCAAATCTAAGAAAGACTTGATAGCATAACTGGCCAGTGCACCTGCCGAATTTCATCGATGTCAGCGGCTGTTTATAAGCAGAAGATCTCTGTTTGATCCGGGGTCAGGTAAGGTCATATCCCCAAACTCAAAACCTTTTTTGGCTTTCAATCTTTCTCAACTGAATGGCTACCTAGCATCCTGCTGGCCTCATTTTTCTTATCCCACAACCGAGCCTCCTTTATGAAATGACCGTCAAGCCAGGATCCTGAGTAGAAGGTCTGAATTTATTATTTGGTTGAACCCTCCGAGCAGTTGAACCGGTTCAAGTCCCTCTTTTTGTCCGACTTAGACAACAGGAGACCAGTTCTAAGAAAGATCTGATGGTATAATTGGTTAGTGCACCTGCTCAACATATTGTCCTTCTAAAGTTTAAACAGGAACTCCCTGTTCGATCCAGGGTCAGATCATGTATGCTCGGGGAGGCTTTTCCCCCCGTTTTAGCCTGTTGCCTTTTCGACCGTCTTTCAGTGCGGTTGAAGGGTCAGCGAGAAAATCGGTGGCTACTGCCTCAAATGCCCCGAAGAAATCCCGGAGCTCACCCGAGCTTCAAGTTCGAGTACATAGGGCACCCCGCGGAAAACACGAGTCAACCCCCAATTAAAGTCAGTGTTGGCTTTAAGGTTAAGGCCTTAAAGTCTTTAAGGCTTATTAAGGCCTTAACATAAGCCTTAAAGATTCTCGAGGTGGAGGTTAAGGCCTTAACCAGCCCTTAAACCTCGCTTAAAGTCGGACCGGAGTCACTGGATCTTACTGAATCGCCAGTCTCCGAGAATAATTGGTCTCAGCTGGTCCAGTAATTTCTTGTGGGCGGGTAGATCCACATAAAAAAAATGACAGCTTAACTTCTGTGTTAAACAATGCATCTTGCGCCCTAATTTCTGTGAACAAACAGAGCCGTTCAACCACAATATCCGGGATAGTGAGGGGAAAATCACCCTCTTGAGAATATAACCTCAGCCAGAGGACCTAGCCAGCGGTGGGGAGAGATAACTGGTATGGACCGCTGTACTCGCTATTACAAAAACTAACCGGAAATGCATTTATTGCCATAGATCACGTGCACTGAGCTGGACCACCTACCATTCACAGATACCTCAGGATCCTACCTGCAGATAACCCAACTTGTTTCGGAAGTCTGGGTTCATTGGCACTGGCTAGAGCCATCGAGAGATCAGTGATGCTGATGGCAGTTATGTCATTTTGTGGTCCACAAGAAAGATTGGACTCAAATAGACAACCTGAGACCCAATTGACAGTGGGTCAACTATGGAGTGAGTTCTGAAGCATATTTCCTGAATTTTGGACAGCTAAAACCTTGAATACCCTGAAGGAACAAGTCAGCAAGCCGTTCTGCAACATCAACACCAAATCTCAATATGCATCAGGTAAACCCCCATTATAAATTTAATCCCTCCAAAGTAGTATCCTGGATGAGTGGAGTAGACCGTTGCGAGTGCCCTCATGGACTCTTATTCAATAATAAGCGCTCAGGCACAAATTCTTAGGCTAAATAGGATGATGCTTTGTGCGAAGATTTTACTGACTTGACTTGCTGAATGTTTCACCTATTTTCATTTATCTATCAGCTTCCCAACCTTGTATTTAGGTTTTAGAACGTGTAGGGCATCCCCAAGATTTGCCCTCGAGACTCTCCACCAAGTTTATACTTGTAAATGACTGTATGTTGGAACATTTTTGGCCATCTGACTCAAAATCACCTGCAATAAATATAACCCATTTACCGAGCACATACCCACCGGTTTCGAAGGCGACTTTAAGGTTAAGGGTGGCCATATAACGCAAAGAACACATACATTGAGTTGGAACAAAAATATTCTGCAAATTGATGCCGTAAAAACCCGATTTCCGGTCACTTTTTGTAATAGCGAGTAAAACAGGTCGAAAAGAGGTGCTGTAGTGCCCAGGGAAAATCGTGAGAATTTGATGTGTTAAGGCCATAAATTTGACCTTAAGGTTAAGCCTTAACCCTCAATAAGCCTTAAAGCTCCGGAGGACAGGTCCTTAAGGCTTAAGGGCCAACACTGAAATTTAAAGTTGAAAGCGGCGAGACCATCAAAATAATATCAATTCACGTTCACGTAAATTGTGACGGAGCTCAACGACCCAGACAACGCACTGCATACTGTGGGTGAGAAACGGCATGGGTTGGAGAAGGCGTCTTTTCGCCCCACACACGTGATTCCCAAAGGAGAAATGGGCGTGTCATATTTGCTGTTGCGCTCAGGATGGCAAATCACTTGGGCGAGTTGATGCGCCACTGTCACAGTCTCGACGCGAGAATATATATATAAAGCGGGTAAGGCCGACGAGCGGCAGTGCCCGGTAACGTTAGGCTTGGTTAAATCCACCTTACCTTCTACTTGTTAAGAATTGATCTATGAACTGAAACATATATTAACGCAGCGGTAAGGACTAGTAAGTAGTGATTAAGCGTACGAAATATGTTCGAATCTCTCTCTTTATAAAATTACGATGTCTGAAGCCTTTAAACTCCGCGAGGCAATCATCGAGTGATCTATGCCTTATCATATGCGAAACAAGAGCGCGCCCCGGCACTAGAGTATGTGGAGGCTTTGGGTTTTTTGGGAGCGCGTTCCATTAGTAGTGCCATTGGAAAGAGGCATATACATGAGGAAGCAGTCATGTTTGTATTCAACCTGAGTCTGCTTCGGCGGCTAGCCACTCGCTTGTTTGAAAGGTTCTCGGGTGATTCCGGTCTGTTGCCGAAGCTTCGGTGGAAATTGAGTGGATTTTTTGAGCACTCCGTTGGGCGCTACCAATGCGCCGGGGCGAGTGCTCCATAAGCGGAGCTTAAAAGGCCTCGGACGGACACACGCGAATTATAAAGAGTAGCTCTGTCTCGGTAGACGTTCCAGTGTATCTTATCTCGGACTGATCCGACGGAGTTTGGATAAATGATAAGAAAAGATGGCCCGAGATAACCCCGTCGCCATTACGACGACTGACTTGCAGGCGGAACAGCCCGAGACATTTGGGCCGCATTACGGAGAACATTCTAGAGGAAGAATAAGCAGGATTATGAGATTCGATTCGCGAATCATCGTGCGGAACTTCGGCTTGTGCAAGCCGAGAATTAGCCGACGCATTTTGGCAGAGAGAAAAGGTGATTACGCTAAAACTGCTGACAAAAATGTGATGCACGGCCAATTTTTGAAAATCAGGCTCTCTAAGACCCAGTAACTTACGTTACCGGGAATAAAGCGGGTAAGGCCGACAAGCGGCACAGCCCGCTACCAATTAATTGTTGGGGCCTTTCAAGCTGGTTTGAGTTTTGTGCAGATGTATACTTCAAATCTTTGCCAAATTTCACCAAAATTCTTTGTGCACAGAGTTCAAGGCCATGCTATATATCAATATTAAATAATGGTGGCCCAACGCTCGCTCGGTCGCCGTCGCGGGCGTCCCGCGACGGCGACCAGCTCACATTGGGCCACGGGAAATTACACTTGACCGTTCAACTCTCTAGCTCGATTTCTGATTGTTCAACATCCTCGCGTAATTTAGGTGCATGAGATTTTTCTTTGAAGCGGCTGCTGAGTTTTCGTTTTCAAAGAGCTGAGTTCTCGTTTTCAAGGAGATGACTCAGCATGTTTACGAGTGCCTCGGCGGCAATTATCGGCATACAGCTCGGCTGGTAAGCCCGAGAATTTTGGCAGAGAGAATAGGCGCTTACGCAGAAAGGCTGACGAAAATGTGATCGTCCGCCAAAATGCACTTTGATGGGGCGCCCTATAAGAACCCGTACCTAAAGGTAGCGGGAATATGTATATTGTGCAAGTGAGAGCAGTTAAAAACGAAATTCGAAGTCATTGCAAGTAATCTACCATTGCAATTCAATTGAAAATGTAGGGACATGTCTTGGCGCGACAGGGTAGCGCGCGAAGGCACGAGGAGGAAAAAATGTACTTTTTGCGAGAGCAGCCAGTGCAGGACCGCACACAACTCCCGCCCCTTGCGACGCAGCTGCGGGTGCGCGTGATGGGAGTCCCGCCGATGCGAGACACCGAGGGAGCAGCGCGGCGCAGGACATCGGCGCAGGACATCGGCGCCCAGAACCAATGTCAGCTCGTTGGCAATGGGACCGAGGAATACACACACCAATGCAGCCTAGATCCCGGCCCCACAGGAAGCGGCGCGGTGGCACGACAATCACGGGCAAGTGGCACATTGCGCGTACGAGGCGGGTGAATGTCGCGCGGACCGAGAGAGCGCCAGAGCGGGGGGTGGCGGGAAACACGCGACTCTAGCGTCGCTTGTCATGGTGAGGGTCGATGGACGATAGCGGGGGTGGTGGTGGTGAGAGAGAGCAAGGAGGAAAGGGAGTGACACCCGTCACAATGGATCCGTTTCCGGTCTTGGAGCAAACATGTACATTCATCCTTTTCCTTTGGGAAGCAAGTGCATGGGGCGAAATCTCACAACCTAGGGTTGGTGGCAGTGTATTTGTTCCTGTTATTTTGTGCTTGACTCGGAACGACAATGTCGGATGCGGCTGCCCTCCGTACTCGTCTAGAAGACCTTGCCTCCGCTATATCACACCATCAGGGAATCATCCGCGACCTCGAAAAGACTAGGACAGCTGTCCAACGCGATCTCAACGCCATCCTGGACCCGATGGTGCGGCTGCCATTCGAAATCTCATCCGATATCTTCACGCGATGCCTCCCCGCCATCCCGCGAGCTGATCCGCTCACAGTGCCCATGGCTCTTCTGAACGTGTGCCATTCGTGGTCCAATATCGCTCTAGCCACCTCTGCGCTGTGGACCAGCATTCAGATCGAGTTTCCACAGGCACCAGGGTTCGAGCACCTGTTTGACGTTTGGCTCAAACGCGCCGGCACTCGTGCCACCTCCATCTCCCTCCGTGGATGGTTACCACAAGCCGAAGCGTCTGTGCTGAACGAGCACGCACCTCGGGTGCAGAAATTACAACTGTACTTTTCGTCCGAGACGCCATTGCAGCAGATCGACACCTCGTTTCCGTGCCTAAAAATGTTGACCATTGGGCAAGGCGACCATCATCCCGGCCACCCTAGCTCTTTCTTTTACGCGGACAACCCCAGTGGATGCGCCGAGCTAATCCGTGCCGCGCCAAACCTCATGGAATGTAATTTCGAACGAATGTGTTATCGCCAAAGTCCCCCACCCAATCTAACAGCATTCACTCACAATTCCCTGCGACATCTACGTCTTGGTATAGGGGGGGACGACTACAGCAGCGTATTCATTTTGTCGTACCTCACGTTTCCTGCCCTGCAAACCCTCTACATACCCGACGTCGCCATCCTGCAGGACACCATCATCTCCTTCCTGACCCGGTCAGCCCCGCCACTGCAGTCATTATATATAGCGTCAATCGACAACT